ATTTTGAAGTCATTTCTGTAGGCAGTAAATTTGTTGCAATACTAAAACGCCAAAAATTCCATTCTCTATCAAAAATGTTGTTTGGAGCAAAGTGATCGTTATTTTATTGCAACTATTATTAATCAGCTTTTTAAATGACAGTTAAGTCGATTAGAATTAGATTAAGCAAATTGTATAAATACCCTATGGGGTTTTCTACCATAATCTAACAGACTTGTCACTAATAACAGATTATATTCTAAATATAATAGAAAATTGCAAATTGCTATAAAAGAAAAAATGGGAATTGTACATTCTTCATAGTAAATTCCAGTTTATCCATCGGTTGATTTGATTTCTCTAACTTAAAATGAAGATTTGTCTGATTATTCATACGAACTGTGATCAAAATTTGACCGGATAGTTGATAAATAATTGAGCGCTGAGTGAGAAGTAGACATTTATAAAGTTATATTTGTAAAATCTCAGCGAAATTGAAATGATTAATTCCAACGTTTCGTTCGGCAATCTGGTCCGAACTTCTTCAGGGAAATTAATCGAAATTAACAGAACAAAGTTTATATATAAAGGGACACATCTTGTTTTTAAAATTCTTGTCCAATCATGAATCTTGCAACAGGTATCAACATGTATCATAAATAAATAAATAGAATTGTATGTTTATATAAAAGTACATCTCTTATTTTTAAATACGAATCAAGAAACAGCTATCAATAGGTATACTAAACAAAACAAAAAATTTTCAGCTGTCCAGTACTCCCAGGTTTTCCAGTGGTTCTCTAACTCACCTTGTAACCAGAAGGTCCTGGTTTCGAATCCCGGTGGGTGCGTACTGTTGAAGAATCCCGAAGTATGACGAAACAGCTGTCCAGTACTCCCATGTTTTCCAGTGGTTCTCTAACTGATGTCAGCTCATGATTAAATCCTCTATGCAATCAAAACAAAAATTGTATGAACGAACTATGATCAAAAACTTTTTTGACCTCAGACTTTCAAAATTTGTCTACTTTTGTTAAAATATATGTGTATATGCAGTATGTGCAGGATACAATGGTGTGTGTGTGTATGTGTGTGTGTGTGGAACAGTCATAAAACATTTGCTATTCTCATATGAGCTGTGATCAAGATTTGACCGGATAGTTACAAAATAATTGAGATTTTTATAAATATAATTTAATTTTTATAGATTTGTTATTCTCTCTATTAGAAGACGTAGACAATCGGGAATTTGACCAAGTGTGACTACTTGTTCATACATATCAAATTTTATTTTATTTATTTAAAAAAATTTGCCATGCATCAGCTAACATCACACCTTCACGTCTGTTTAAACTGTTGGGATTCACCCATATATGTAGGGCTTCTGCAGTCAGTCTTTCTTGATATGAACCAAAACTTTTCTGTACAACCTTAGTCTTATCAAAGTCGATTTTGTGTCCCGTTTCTATTGAATGTAGTGCAATCGCTGAGTTGTTTTCTAGCTTCTTCAAGTCTGCAGAGCTCTTTGGAACCACCTTTAGACATTGTTTATGCTCTTTCATTGTTATATTTACCTGTCTAGAAGTTTCTCCTACATATACTGCGTTACAATCCCCACAATTGATCTGGTATACGCAATTCTGCTGGTTTTCTTGTTCTATTTTATCCTTAACCTTCACCAGTAATGAGCGTAAGGTGTTAGATGCACGAAAGTACACTCTTATGTTATGTTCGTTAAGGATTCGCTTTATTTCATCGGATGTTTCTTTGCGGTAAGGAACCACCGCTGTACTAACCCAATTCTTAGCAGCAGGTTTTGATTCATCCTTATCTTCACATTTTAAGTATCTTTTTATGAAGGCTTTAGGATAATTATTTGACTCAAGAGTGGATTGAACTAATTTTAGTTCCTTGTTAAAAGGAAATGCCACCACTGAGACCTGAACAGTAATAAATCAACACTCATCGGAGTACGTGTCAAACACTTAGTCTTTATTTTCTTCACAAATCTTGGATTATGCTTGGAAATAGCCACTTCAAGTGTATTCCATTGTCTTAAATAAAGCAGGTGACTTTTTCACTTTCCTACAGACTTGTACACTAACGTGCATTATTATATTTAAGTGTTGGTTTGTAGGGATTTGGTTGGTTATAGAACTTCATCATGAGCTGACATTGGTTAGAGAACCATTGGACAACCTGGGAGTACTGGACAGCTGTTTCCTTCTAGTTTGGGACTCTTCATCAGTACACACCCACCGGGGTTCGAACCCGGTATTGTCTACTTTAGTTCCTAGGAGAACATAGGGCTTCAGCCACACGTCTCCATTGCGTTCGGTTCTCTATCAACCTTTTCACCTGGATCCATGTCTGTCCACCTGCTTTCATCTCCTCTTCACATGACCTCCTCCTCCATGTCACCCTCGTACTGACGACTAACTCCCCGCTTCCCGTTCGGGTTCCACTTGAGTGATAGCTTGATGTATGATGTCACTCACTTGATGGTTTGTTTTCTCAGAGTATGGCCAATTCACCTACCTCCATTTCTTCCTGCATATTTGTTGCACGGTTGGATCCTTCTGGGTTGGTTTGTTCATGGCCAGAGATCCCCGTTGCTGATCTTTTCTGACCAACCATCTGATCTCGAGTAGTATTGAGTGAAGACAGCTGTTGATAAAGGTCTGTAGATCTGTATGCAAAAACGTGTATATCGAAACTTAATTATACTTATTTGTGGATTCGCACCTTAGAGTCTTATAAATGAAGATATTATACCGATGATATTTACCAAAACCCGACTTATAATAGATTTTAGTTTTCAGCTTGTAAACTCCATATCTTTTCTTCATTCGTATTTAAATTATCTTGGTAACCTTTAGACACAATAGTATAATATTTATTATTAGTGAATTGTGGTATTATTGGAATTCTTCAAATTGTCCACCTTTTTTGTTTTTCGCCACTTTTCTATTATTATTCTCATCACCCCACGTATCTTTCTTGGTGGTCCATATCTCTCCTGTTCTTATGTTGTACAGTTAATGTTTTTTCCATGTAGGTCAGTTTCTGCCTCCTTTTTTTGTCCTGTACTGAATTTAAAAAAAAGTACAACTGTTATAGCTCAGACTGTTAATGTGACTTACCAGAATAGGAAATGCCACTTTGTTGTAATGAAGAGTAAGTGTGTATATGTTTGTAAATGTATGTATATTTTTATATGTGAGTGTATGAATGTCTCAATCCATCCTCTGAATCTCAACGCCATTAACTGCCCCTAGTGAATGAATGATTAGTGAATCAGGAGTTGGCTGTCATTCTATATATATATATATATATATATATTGGTAAATGTTTATGAAGTGTGTTATGATGAATAGAGCAGAACACCAGACACTTCTAATAAACAATGTGTCATTCAGAATGTAATGATGAATGATGAGCATATGTCTACACTTACTAATGTTGTTATTAGACTCGGATATGAAAATTTTATTTATTACTAATGCTTTTTCTAAAATTGATTATCTGATGAGCATGTATTATGGTGATGACGAAAAAATATTCTAGAAAAGACTTTGACTACTTATAAGTAGTATAAAGTTGTTACTTTTTTCAAAGTTGATAACGGATTGATATCAGTTAGAGAACCAGGGTGTACTGGGCAACCAGCTGTTTCATCCTAGTTTGAGAATCATCGCCAGTACGCACCCCACCACAGGGGTTCGAACCCAGGACCTTCCGGTTACAAGGCTAGCAAGCTCGTATACCATTCAGCCAATGGGACCCGATTCAATGGCTCATGAATTCTAATTTTTACTAATTCATGATTTATCTCGACCCCAACCATTGTCGTCGGTGGGACATCCATCCTCACACGTGACATCCGAATGGACCTCACTGGTCACGACCCTTACAAACCAAACTATAGAAAATTAATCTGTTGCTCACTAGTGACTTGCTACAGTATGGAGTTTCCTGGAGTTCCAGTAAGAAGTCATGACGTGTGAGGTCCAACCAGTCAAGTGTAAGGACCGATGTCCCACCGATGATATTGGTTGGTGGTCGCGCTAAATCACCAATTGGTGTAAGTTAGAATTCATGGGCCGGCAACTGAATTGGGTCCCAGTGACTGAATGGTATACGAGCTTGCCTTGTAGCCGGAAGGTCCTGGGTTTGAATCCCAGTGTGTGCGTACTGCCGGTGATTCCCAAATTAGGATGACACTGCCGCTGTCCAGTACTCCCTGGCTAGTTTTCAATGGTTCTCTAACTGATATCAATCCATGATCAACTCGTAAAAACATAACTAACCCTTACAAACCAAACTATAGAAAAACTGTTATTTGTCTAAGTCAGTTTTGTGCAACACATTTTCGAACAATCTGATCACACACGGACTTGTCATAGGCAGTACATTTTCTCTGGTATTTGGCCTAGTGATCTTTACAAATTCACATAAGTCAGTTTTGTTTCTCCCTATTGATTGAATGTTACGCTTGAGTCTCAGTGATATAATTATCATTCACTGGGGCCTTACAAATACATCGAAGTGATGTGTCCCAAAAAGGATGAAATCCTCATCCTGAGTTCTGCTGCCTATCACCATCCACTAATATTGGAATCAAAGTACTGTAAAGAAGAAAAGATCGATAAGGTTCGAAGGAATGTTTGTTTGGACAAGTGCATCGTAGGTACATAAATTTTGCTATACCTTATCCTCAATGCTTTATTTACACATCACTTACAAATTGGTTGAATATCATCACATTCGATAGCTTGTTGGATTCTTCACAGTGTTTGTAACATTCTTCTCACAGTTTTCTTCTTCCGTTGCCTTCTTACTAGTGTTGTTACTTTTCTGAACTGGTTTGCTGATATGCTACTTATATCTGGTTAAAAGTAGCACTTACCACAGTATAAGGTTGTATTGATTAATGTGTATATGTTCTTAGTACATCATCAATTACGTCAACAAACAGTGTTTAATTATACTTCAATGTCATTTTCTTTTTCCTCTATCAGATGGTTTCATCATGATCTGCCGCGATCACATGCTGAAAAATTACTGAAAACAACTCCAACTGGTAGTTTTCTTGTAAGAAGAAGTGAAACAAGCAAAACAGAACTTTCATTATCGATAAAGTAAGTATAATGTACCACATATATCTCGAGATTTTGTCTGCAGTTTACTCATAAAACTAGACCCTTTTATTTAGCTTCCTAAAATCCATTCACAAGGAACAAAGAGTATTTTTAGTCTTTCAAAATACCTTGAGTTATAAAATTAAACCAGCGCTATATTATTATGATTTCAACTCATATCTATCACTTCGTTTTGTTTATTTTCAGTTGTATAGGTAGTAAGCGCTAGGGCATTGCATGCATTTATAACACCATGTATTATATTGTTATTATATCATTATTATTATTATTCTCTTGGGTTCCGAGTGGAACATAGTGATGGCTTCAACAACACACCTCCACTTGGTTCTTTAGCTGGGCCCACGATTCCCCATAATCTCTCATTTCCTCCACGCCGCAAGAAATCTTGTAAAATGTCTCGCGAGCAGAGCAAGGAAGATATGTACGGAGGACCTCTTACAAAAGGAATTTGAATATATTCACGATTCCTTGACGGAGATGGGTTATCCGAGTAGTTTCATAAAGAAACATATGAAACCATCAGAGAAGAAACCTGTGACTCTAACTGCACATAAGAAATCTCTATTTATTAAGTTACAATTTAGTGGGGACTTATCTAGTGAGATTCTATTCCAAAGACTTTCAAGGAGTTTACGTAGAACATTTTACGCAGCACACCTATGTTTGTCATTCTCTAGCCGACGAATGATTGGGACGCAAACGAAGGATAAGCTTGATAGTTTTGACACATCTATGTGTATTTATCAATTCAACTGCACATGCGGTGACAGTTATATTGGGCGTACTACTAGACAGCTTAGCCAACGTGTTAGTGAACATCTCCCATCGTGGTTTGGCAAAGGACAGACAAAAATAATCCGTAGCTCAATTCTGTCACATCTAATTGGTAGTAGTCATGTAGTCGATAAAACGAAAGCCTTCAAAGTAATTCATCGTATCCCACCGAATCTTTCTAATAGACTTCGTATTCGTCTACTGCACACAGCTGAGGCGATAGGCATTCGAACAACTATTAAACCTAAACTATGCATTCAAAGGAAGTTCGTGCAGCCATTATCCCTCCCGTGGCCTAATAAGACATAACCAACTAAAGACTTCTACACCACCCTTTATTTATATTTCCAACCCCTTTCTTATCATCCCTTAATCTTATATTCATTATAAACGTGTTTCATTTCCTTCCCCTACAATCTAACATTACGTAATCGGTTCATTTGTTTTTACTAGCCTTTATCGACTACTTCCACCTGAACAATTGTTTGTTTAATCATACTGTTTTTCATTATTCGTGTTATCACAGATTGCCTCATTTTTTCATCCTTATTATTGATAAGACCATGATTATTATTATTATTACTATTATTAATATTATCATTACCACTATTATGACTAATTGCACAATTTATATTCACCATCGTATTATCCTATAGACAAAACACCATGATTGGTTTATATTTGAATTTTTATTTGTAAACTTATATGTATTAGAGTTAAGCCTGATGATATCTAATTGAAAACAATATTGTTCGCTTAAATGTGTTGTTCTAAATTTTACTATGGGAATATTTAATATATTTAACTAAATGTGTATAATATCCTTCAGATACTTAGTGTTTAAGATGTATGTACCAAGCCCCGAAACTTAGTAGATACCTTTTGCCTTCAATTATGACTGAACTGAAAAGACAACCATGAAGTTCCTTAGAGAAGTGAGTATATGACTAAATTCCTTTTGTAAGAAAAAGATAATCTGGTGTAGCGATCGCTCTTCAGTGGTCACTGTTCATGAATGCTGATAAATATGAAAGTTATCTATAGTTTTAAGTGTACTGATATCCTTTCAATTTACTAGTTAGTTGTTGCGTCACGTAAAAATATGTAATCACTTTCTATCACTTTCATTTATTTATCATTAGACGTGAAAATGATGTCCTACACATGAAAATCTCTCAAGACCCTGAAACTGGAGCTTATGTTCTTGGTGAATATAGTCAACCGTATCCAAGTGTTTCAGCTATGATATATCGTTATTCACGAAGTTTACTCCCGGTACGTGGTACCACTCCGGTGTTGTTGCGCTTCCCAGTTAGTCGTATTGCATTTTCACATTAAAAATAAAACCCAGTCAAATATATATATATATATATATATATATATATATATATATATATCATCTCTGTATACGACAATCTGTATCCATCCTTTATACTTATTTATTTATTTATATAATATTTGTTTATATTCTATTTTCAAACAGACATCAGTTAAGCGCGGTTGTCGGTGTTGTTTGTTGTAATTTGTTTATTGTTGTGGTTGTTGTCCGAACCTTCATTTTTTGCAATATTTAAATTTAAATTTTTCGCATATTTTGTTGATTTTGTAATTTTACAATGTTGGCATGTTTTTGTTTTTTGTTTGTTTGAAGAACCGCCCACTCCCTTGGTTATGTTGTTGTTATGCTTTGCTCGAATTCTTAACTCCATTTATCCATCTCAGTATTTAATTGTGCATTTCGATACATTTCACTCTCTCTCTCTCTCTGTCTCCATGATGCCACTTCGCGCATAAATCTCAATGCTAGTAATGTTGTAAGTAAGCGTGAAGTTTCTTTAGGTCAAGTTTCATTACTGTTATTATTATCATTATTTAACAAGCATTTAACGTGTTCAATTCCACATATATATATATATATATATATATACACACACACCAGTAGTACTTAAAGGTGGTTATCTCTCCTCTTGTATTCATTTACTTTTATGTTGTTACCTTGCCGTCTTCATCTTCATTTTCCAATCTCAGTTTTCTCTCCTTTAACATCAGTGTTATCAAGTTATCACTCCTACTACTACTACTAATTATTATTTATAAAACATTTCTGTGAATCAATACTTAATCAATCATGTACTTTGTACACTAACTAATATTTACTTATTATTCTCCTTTTCTGACTACTCTATTCACAATAATGAGTAGTACATCTAAAGAGTCCATTCAATTTTGTTTGTTCTTTTTTCAAATTTATGCATAAATAATATTGACACGCACAAGTATTATAAATAAAACTGCTTAGAAATATAAAGGCATATGTATATCATCATCCTACAAAAACATTGAATATCTTATTACAATTGTTAATCCTTTAACTACTAACACACACACACACACACCTTCTAAAATATTCACTTGACCGACCGGTTAAACACATGAAGTTGATTTGATCTATCTGTCTCTATGAGTCAATCCTTTTGTTTGCTAACTTTTTACGTCAACTTCTTGCCTACTTTACCCCACAACTATGAAAGTCAATATTATGTCTCACACACACAGATGAGAGGAGATGGATGATGGATGACACATGGTCAATAATAGACATCATTATTCTTATTCTCTTGGCTATATTTTTCTTCAATGGTTTTTGCTTTCTTAATCTTTCTTGAACAACTATGTTTTTCATCATTATTCTTCTTCTTATTATTATTATTATTGTTAAACAAAGTCACTCATATTTGAATTGGTAACTCTATATTACTTTTTATTATTATTATTAATATCACGTCTTCTTTTAGGTGTTCATAAAAAAACTTGATTTTACAAGCTCTTTCTTGTTTAGTCCTTTAAAAGCTATTTATTATTATTATTTTACTGCTGTTCAGACTAAATTTTTAATAAAAAAACGACCTTTTACGGTAAAAATGAAATACAATTTTTACAATACTCTTTTTTCTTGGGTTTTTTATTCATAAGGCACTAATTGTTTTTTCGTTAACATTACAACTTGCATTATGATACACACTACTTCCCATGTTAGTTTGTTTATTAGATGTATCACACAGTGAGGGAAACAGTATTATTGTTTACTGGATGACACAGTTTCAAACAAAATTTATTACGGTTCATAATCATGCCATCAATTATAATCATACGACTTCGAAACTTGAGTTTTAATAGGAAGGAGAACTTCCAATGTTAGATTGAAACGTAAAAAGGAAAGAAGATGGAGAGTTGAACACTAGTGTTTACAAGGAAACCCACACATTCAAACAGATATTTGAACTTCAGATCATCCCATCCAATGTCAGTAAAAATAGGATTGGTGAAATGTTTAAGCAACAGAGCACAAAAACTAAGTAGTACTAAGGAAAATCTAAGACAAGAAGTGATACACATAAAAGAAGCCTTGAAACTTGATAATTTCCCGGATAAATTAATCAAGAAATATGTAAGTAAATTTAAAAATAAAATAAATAATGATGCTAGCGATAGTGGTAGTAATAATAATGATAACAATAATAATGATAATAATAATAATGGTAATAATAATATTAATGATGACACCAACAATAAGGAATCTAAATCATCAACAGTAATTCCATACAAGGAAGGAACCTCGGAAACCTTGCGTAGAATTCTTAACAAGGCAGGAATAAAAGTGGCTGGCATTCAAACCAACCACAAACTCAATTAGAAACGAACTTTGTCGGTTAAAGGATCAATCCTGTGGAGCCTTTAAAACAAAACATTTTAGTTTATCTAATACACTGCCTGCAATGATTGTCAGGTCAAATACATAGGTCAAACTAGTATAACAGGAGCAGTCAGACTAGCCGAACAGAAAAGCCTAGCAAAATCTAGATTGGTTGACGCGAATAAGATAAGAAATCTAGAGAATAGTTCAGCTATACTACTACTCACTACATGCAGTTACACACAACCATACAATAGGTTGGGATAGGATGACAGTTTTAAAATCTAATGTCACAGGGTATAGGGAGAGATTGATAACAGAAGCTTTGTTTATCGAATCAACCGCAAATACATGTAATAGAAATGACTCATCACCTATCCCTGATATCTGGAAAATTCTACTACTCCTACGACAAACAGGAGAAGACAAAGAAAACTATAATATTCAAGTATTGGTTTTTGTAGGGATTTTGTTTGATTGCATGGAGGATTTAATCATGAGCTGACATAAGTTAGAGAACCACTGGAAAACCTGGGAGTACTGGACAGCTGCTTCGTCCTAGTTTGGGACTCCTCAGCAGTGCGCACCCACCGGGATTCGAACCCAGGACCTTCTGGTTACAAGGCGAGCTCGTAGACCATTGAGCCACTGTAACCAGAAGGTCCTGGGTTCGAATCCCGGTGGGTGCGTACTGCTGAGGAGTCCCAAACTAGGACGAAACGGCTGTCCAGTACTCCCAGCTGGTTTTCCAGTGGTTTTCTAACTGATGTCAGCTCATGATTAAATCCTCCATATAATATTCAAGTTTCGAAGTCGTGTGATTATAATTGATGACATGATTATGAACAATAAATTTTGTTCGAAACTGTGTCATCCAGTAAATAATACTGTTTCATCACTGTGTGATACACCTAATAAACAAACTAACATGGAATTACTTACTACCACATTGCCCAAGTTTTATACATATATTGAAGTAAAATCTGCATTTGAAGGAACTAGGTTTCATGCGACATATGTTTTTAACACAGCCGTGATATGCAAAGACATGAACCACGCTTGCAAACTGTCTCATACCTGCAGTAATCTGCATCAAGAAATTAGTTTCACGATGGAACATGGACGCGTAGATCGTAATTTCATTTCCTGGATTTATCCATGAGAAAACGAGATGATGGTACAGTCGAGAAAGGAATATACCTCAAAGATACTTGGACCGGACAGTATTTCAACTATTCTAGTTTCTGACCAATGAAATACAAAGAAAGATTTGTCAAGACGCTGTTTGACAGGGAGAATAAACTTCGGAGTCAAGACAGATTGCACAAACAATTGGACTTCCTTGAGAAGCAACTATCTGAGGACAAGTTTTCAAATAAATTCATAAAACGTTTCTAAAAAGATTGCAGTTATGAAAAGAACTCTGTTACAATCGCGAAGGAGCCTACATTTATCCATCTCATCTTTAAAGGAGATGATGTATGAAAGTTTATAAACAAGAGAATAAAGGTTGTCGTAACCACAAAGTATTAGACAGCCAAATTTGTTCCTGTTTACAGCATAAACCGTCCACTTCATTAACTGAATGTGGACAGGTACCTATCTGAAATAACCGCTAATTGTGTTCATAAATTCATATATACATGCTGTAGCAAAAACATTAGAAGGAAAGAAAGTCCAGCATCTCTCTTCGTTTATGCTTCTGGTCCAAGAGTATTTTTGTTATAGAGTCAACAAACAAAACTTCAGGAATATCCTGCCAGATTAGTGATAGGTAACCACTTTCGTTTCCTACTATTTGTCATCACAATTCACAAACTGTTGTATCCATAAACTACGATCTTCATGCCAACCTTCTGGTAACAGAATAAAAAAAATTGTATTCAGTTGTTGGTTTGTAGGGATTTGATTGGTCTCAGGATTTCATCATGAGCTGACATTAGTTAGAGAACCATTGGTGAAATCCTGAAACCAATCAAATCGCTACAAACCAACACTTGAATACCAATGAGATGCTCACTGGCGACTGGCCCTATTCAGGTAGGTAGTTACCTGGGTTCCAGTGGGAAGTCGTGACCAGTAGGGTGAAGAAGGTTGGCTGTGAGGACAAATACTCGCCGAAGACATTGGCTAGCTGTCGCGCTATGTCGTGAATTGTCAGAAGTTAGAATTCAAGGACCATTGGATCGGGTCCCAGTGGCTTAATGGTATACGAGCTCGCCTTGTAACCGGAAGGTTCTGGGTTCTAATCCCGGTGGGTGCGTACTGATGAAGAGTCCCAAACTAGGACGAAACAGCTGTCCAGTACTCCCAGGTTTCCCAATGGTTCTCTAACCAATGTCAGGTCATGATGAAATCCTGAAAAAATTGTATGTTCTAATTTTTCTAAGACTGTATATTTTAGGCTGTTAGCAGTTGAAGAGTAGCCTAGAGATGAAATTTTCACATTTTGACGAAGATTTTCAAACGACTTAGGTATTAACATAGAAACAGCCAATCTGAAATAGTGGATACTATTTGTAGCTAACCTGTTCGTTTCCCACTTTAGTGTGAAGAGGTTTTAATTTTATTTTGGTTACAAGATTTCATCATGAGCTGACATCAGTAAGAGAACCATTGGAAAACCGACTGGGAGTACTGGACA